ACCCAAATCACATTGCACCGTACCAACCTAAACCTTCCTGCAGCTGGTGAGTACACCGGAAGGCGCCAACCGCCCTAACCGGGATTCGAACTTGCCCAGGAGGTGAACCCTGGGGTTCCACACCACTGACAGAGACATTGCCTCTGGGCCAAAGCACCACTCGACCAGGACATTTTTTTTAAATAATAAAGGACCTGATGAAGTCGAAAGATAAACATCGTTGGCCTCATCATATTTGAGTGGAATAATCAAATCACTCGGAAAGTTCCAGGGAAACCCGGAAACATAAAAATTGCAATTTTAAATTTAAATTTTTTTTTTTAATTCTCTCGCTGGAATTTTTCCTTCATCTGATTTTCATACATCAGTACCACAGTGATCCACAGGCCTTATGTTGAATGTCCACCCATCTATGTACAGTATATACATACATATATACATATATACATATATACATACATACTATATATATTGCATATTAAACGGTCGCGGTCGCTGCTGGTTGACATCGCTAGGCACGAGATGCTGCTTCCGAGCGCAGCCCGTCTTGGCCAGACCTGAATGCGCTGTGCTCTCGTCCCCCTCCGGATGTAGTTGTTAGGCCTCATTACCCTCCCACAGACACAAAGACCCCCTTCACATCCTTCTCTATCCCGTCCATTGTGAAGCTTCTGCCTGAAGGCCCTTTTGCCTCGGCGGCCACTCCGGGACTAAATGCACCTCCTGTCAGCGCCGGCTCCCGGTGCCAGTTCAGCTGCTGGAGGAGGCTCGAAGGTGATCGGGTCTGAGAAGAAGAAGAAGAAGAAGAAGAAGAAGAAGGAGAAGAAGAAGAAGAAGAAGAAGAAGAAGAAGAAGTTCTATCGCGGACCACCAGGTGTGAATGTTAGCGTGAACAGGGCCGTCGACGTTCCACTGGACAGCCACATCAGTGTCTGACGTTCAACACATAAACCCAGATATATAATATTATTATAATTATTTATAATTATTATTACTTTTTTAACATTTGAAAAAAAAAATTAAAAAAAGCAGATGCGAACAATTCCACTGTCTGACCACTGGAGGGCAGCAGTCACATTTGAAGTTGAGTTCATGAGGCGAAGTCAGCACCTGATCTGATTTTGTTTGGACTTAAATGTCTGACCACTAATTGATTCTTTATATTAGAACACGTCACAATAACGTACAAACACGTCATCAATCCGTGAAATAAAATGCGGGAAAAACATGATGTAAGTTTGCTCTTTGACTTTCAAAGGGCGGATTCTCTTATTTATATTTATATTTATATTTATATTTATATTTATATTTATATTTATATTTATATTTATATTTATATTTGTATTTGTATTTGTATTTGTATTTGTATTTGTATTTATATTTATATTTATCATTCCAACTGGATTATTATTATAATTCAGTTGCTTTTCAAGCGAGTTACTTCATTTGATTTCATACGGCAATCTGCTTTCACCTGCTGGTCAAATCTTGCAATTACACGAACACATAAAAATCTGCCAATTGTCCTCAGACATCAAGCACGAGTCCAAAGTTCGTGGACAGAGGCGTGCACATGTTTAATTAACTTTTATAATAATCATTTAATTGAAGTTATGAAACCGGAAGTCACATGGACAAAAATCTGTGTTTAAAAAAAATAAGAAAAAAAACAAGCAGCGACTGAAGTTCTCTGATTAGACGGGTTTTAATGTCATTTTCTTGGTTTGTTAGTGCAGACGCGGAAATCGGCAGACATTTTTGATGTTCCGGTCTGAGCCACTTCCTGTTTGGAATTCCTCCTGACGGCGTCTTTCTGCTGATGCGGTTGTGGACGGTTCACGGAGACGGTCGTCGTCGTCGTCTTCTGGTTCTGGACAGGTCTGTTTCCCGTCAGAGAGAGCGCAGAGTCTCTTCTCAGACGTTGCCCACCGCCGCCGCCCTTCAGGGTCTCAGATCTGGCGCGTGGGCTGACGATGACCGGGGGACACGTCTTGGGAACGATGGTGGTCATGGTCCTGGACAGGAGCCTCCCTCTCCTGGTGGTCAGAGGAGGAACTGTTGGAGGGTTCTGTCGCCTCTCCAGACCTCGGGTGTTGAGGTTCAACCTCTGGAACTGACGCTCCAGGTCCTTCACGGCCGTGTCGGTGTAGTCCCGCATCTCCTCCTGCAGCAGGCGGACACATTCTTGGAACTCAACCCTCAGGGTTTTCGCGACCGCCTCCAGCTGAGCCTGGAGCTCCTCCTCCCGACTCCGATCCGTCGTCCCTCCAGATGCTCCTCTGTCCTTGTCGCTCCCACCTTTGACCTTCAGTTCGCCGTCCTTGAGTTTGTGGACCAACTCCAGCAGGGTGCTCTGTGGCGGAGGCCGCGCGCCGCCCTGCGACCTCATCTGTTTACGCACCTGTTGGAGGAGCGACTGCATGGTCATGTGGTTCTCCTTCTCCGCAGCAGCAGCACCGACCGTTGAGGATTCATCATCGGTACCGGCTGACGGGAGCTGCTCTTTCTCCGACGCCTCCTGTCTTTCTTGGAGCTCCTCTCCATTCACCAGTATCTGGAGACGACCTTCGGGAGACGACATCTTCACGCCGTGTCTTGTCATCGTGTCCGTGTCTGTGTGTGTCTCAGCTGAGGAGGAGTAGGAGCGCCGTAGTGGGCTGGGTCTGATCTGCTGCCGTGTCGATCTCTGGAGCTCAGGCGTCGGGGGATTGAGACCTACAGTCTGGTGTTGGGTTACACTGATGTTTACTGAAACACAACAACCAGAAACACAACAGGGCAATGGATGGATGGATGGATGGATGGAGGGATGGATGGATGGATGGATGGAGGGATGGAGGGATGGATGGGTGGAGGGATGGATGGATGGATGGATGAACAGATGGAGGGACGGATGGCTGGAGGGATGGATAGATGGATGGATGGAAGGGATGAATGGAAGGGATGGACGGAAGAGATGGATGGATCGACTGATGGATGGATGGATGGATGATGGAGGGAGGGAGGGATGGATGGATGGAGGGATGGAGGGATGGATGGATGAACAGAGGGAGGGACGGATGGCTGGAGGATGGATAGATGGATGGATGGAAGGGATGAATGGAAGGGATGGACGGAAGAGATGGATGGATCGACTGATGGATGGATGGATGGATGGAGGGATGGAGGGATGGAGGGATGGAGGGATGGATGGGTGGAGGGATGGATGGATGGATGGATGGAAGGATGGAGGGATGGATGGATGGAGGGATGGAGGGATGGAGGGATGGATGGATGGAGGGATGGATGAATGGATGAATGGATGAATGGATGGATGGATGGGTGGATGGATGGATGGATGAATGGATGGATGAACGGATGGACAGATAGATGGATGGATGGACTGATGGATGAATGGACGGATGGATGGATGGACTGATAGATGGATGGATGGATGGATGGATGATGGAGGGCGGGAGGGAGGGATGGATGGATGGAGGGATGGAGGGATGGAGGGATGGAGGGATGGAGGGATGGATGGATGAACAGAGGGAGGGACGGATGGCTGGAGGATGGATAGATGGATGGATGGAAGGGATGAATGGAAGGGATGGACGGAATAGATGGATGGATCGACTGATGGATGGATGGATGGATGGAGGGATGGAGGGATGGATGGGTGGAGGGATGGATGGATGGATGAATGGATCGATGGATCGACAGATAGATGGATGGATGGATGGACTGATGGATGGATGAATGGATGAATGGATGGATGGATGGATGGATGATGGAGGGAGGGAGGGGTGGATGGATGGGTGGATGGATGGATGGATGAATGGATCGATGGATCGACAGATAGATGGATGGATGGATGGACTGATGGATGGACTGATGGATGACAAATCAAACGCCTCTTCATCATTAAAGTTAATGTGTTGAACAGGTGGGTCAGGACCAGTCCTTCAGCGCCCCCCAAGGCTTCACGCGTGATCTGCGTCCATGACGACGGGTGGAGTACTGAAAACAGCACGAAAAAACACAGGTCCTCCTCAGAGACCGAGCTATGTGTGTGTGTGTGGACCAGCGTCTAATTAGTGAGCAGTGACATCATCAGCGGGTGTGTCACAACACTGTTACTGGTGCTGTTGTTATACCATGTGACCAGGCCCTGAGCCACAGCTTTAGCATCATTTTTATTATCATTATTATTATTTTTCATTGGTATCCAGTATCTTACTTTTTTGGAGAAGTAACTAGTAACTAGTAACTAGGTAACACGTCCATCACTGGTATGTGTTGGACTAAGCCAGGCATGGCCAACCTGTAGCTCGGGGGCCACATGAGGCTCTTACGTTCATGTCGAATTTTATCTTTGTGTTTTTTTTACGCTTTTTACAAGTGAATCCCATGGCGATGTGCGCAAATTACTTGCCGAAAAAATGACGTCTGGACGAGAAAATGATGAAATCCTTTTGAACCAACAATCCTGTTTAGAGGAAATTCCACATCACATCCAAATGTATTTATTTATTTATCGTAAAATCTTTGAAGGATCATCTGAAGAAAACTCAGGGGGGTGTTTCAAGTCACGCTTACAACCAGCCCCCCCCGAGCCAATCAGAGGCCAGCATCGGTGAGCCTCCTCTCGGTGCTAAACGCTAACACATGTACATTCTTCTCTGTTCTTTCTAGAAAGAAAAAAAAACGCAGCTGGAACTTACAAAAAAAAAATTCATGCAGGTTTTCTGTGGAGTTCCCTCCGAGAACAAGAGACGGAAATTGAAAAACAAAAAATTGTTAAAATTTGAATATATAAATAAATATACACATATATTTTTTTAAAAAAGAGACTATATTTGAAGTAGTAAATGCTGGAGGGGTTTTACTTTGTAATCATTATGTAACAGCAAAAATACTCACCAGTACTCTTCCCTACCCCCTCCCTCCCTACCTCCTTCCTCCCCTCCCTCACCCCCCTCCCTCCCCTCCTTCTCTCCTCCTCCAACACTTGTGTAGGAATATCCGTCTCCTCCGTGTGGTCGTTCACTCTGACGGTCAGGTCAGTCGGGTCAGGACGGCAGGAGCAGCGATGGTGAGTTCTCACTCTTTCATAGTACTACATTAGTACTACACTAGTACTGCACTAGTACTGCGAGTAATTAGGAGGTTCAAACTGTGCTTTTCCTTCACAGACGACGTACACGGACAAAGGAGAAAAGGTTGGTGGTTAAAAATGATTTCTCTGGGAATCGAACCCATGACTGCTCCCGTGGCACGCGTGCTAACCGCTACGCCACGGAACGCCGTGTTGCAGGAATGATACGACGTCTTTGACTTTGACTTTGAAATCTTCTCGGATTTCTCTGGGAATCGAACCCATGACTCTGCCACCGTGGCACGCGTGTTAACCACTACGCCACGGAACACCGTGTTGCAAGAATGATGCAACGTCTTTGACTTTGACTTTCTTCTCATCTCCAGCACGATCAGGGCCGGTTCCTCTGCTTCGACCACCTGACCTTCTGGGTCGGAAACGCCAAGCAGGTACGTTACCACACAAGTCCGACTCTCACCCCTAAACATTTTTTTTCTCTTTTTCCCCAGAGAAGGGGTCAGTATGTTATAGCCAGGCTATTGGTCCTGCGGCGGGGGGGTGAAGGGTCAACCCCCAACACCTCAGACCACAAACACGTTTTATTACAGTGGTTCTCAAATGGCGGTACGCAGACCCTCGGGGTACTGAAAGCTAATGAAGAGGCTACGTAGAAAATTTTAAAAATATAAAAAATATATAAAAATATAAAAAAAATTTTTTTTTGTTGCTCTGATTTTTGATATTGTTTTTTCATAGGTTTGAGTCCCAGCAATCACTCGCAGATTTTTTCATTTTGTTTCAGTTTATCTTTTTGTTTTTGTTTTTTATCTCCACATTGAACATCACCGAAACAGGTTTGAGAACCGCGAGGCTCATTAAGTTATAACAGGGGGGGTTGCGACCCGTGGGCCTACGGGGGCTTGGAGCCCGGCAGCCGCGATGTGGTGTCGCACGTGGTCAAACAAGACAAGGTAAAGTAGCTTCAGCTTCATTGGCTCTTTAACATAGTGGTGTCCAAAGTGAGGCGCTCGGAACAAGTGTGGAATGAAGATAAAATATAGGTAAAAAAAATGATGTGAGAGTCAAAGATTTCACAGCAGCCACTGAGAGGATGTTGGTTCAGAGAATTCAAGTTGCAACGTTATTTCTCTAGATGGCGCTCTTTCATTTTTTGTGGAAAATATATTTTTTTGAATTGTCTTTTTTTTCTCTCCCGCTTGTTAAAAAAAATCTGTTTTGTAGAATAAAAAAAATCATTGGAGTTTAAACAAAAGCTATCCAAAAGGGGGCGCTGTACATGTCAATGTGAGAACATCAGTTTTTTGAAGCTAACATATATTTTTCATGTTTACTTTCCACCTGACAGATCATTTACGTTTTTTCTTCTGCCCTCAACCCCGGAAACAAAGGTAAGGCTCAGGGGAAAAAATTTGGACCGCACAAAAAATTTTAGGGGACGCCAATTTTTTTTTTTTTACACGTAAATGTATAATAAATTATTCTTTAGAGAGTTACGGTGCAAGAGTTAAACTGTTAGCACGACGTGATAAACGAACCGAAAACGTTCTCCTCAGAGATGGGAGAACATTTGGTGAGACACGGGGACGGAGTGAAGGACATAGCGTTTACCGTGGAGGACTGTGATTTTATCGTAAAGGTATTTTTTTTTTAATTGGAATTTTTTAAAAGTTTTTTTTATAAACGCAGTTTCTCAACGTGATTTTTCTCTGATTTCAGAAAGCCAAGGAGAACGGCACAGTACTCGTAAAGGAACCTCACACCCTGGAGGACAAACACGGCAAAGTCCGACTAGCGGTCCTCCAGACGGTCAGAGACGTCACCTAGCTTTGGTTCAAGTAAAAGTAAAAAAAAAAAAAAATCAAATATATGTCGTCCGCTGCAGTACGGTGACACCACACACACCCTGGTGGAGAGGACGGGATACGGCGGCGTGTTCCTGCCAGGATTCCAATCTTCTGCGGTCAAAGACCCTTTATTGGCCAAACTGTATGAACGCCATTGTCGCTCAGCTGTTTTCACCTCCCATGATGCAGTTCTGCCATTAAATATATTCTTTGAGTTTCAGTCCCGGTGGGAAGCTCAACTTCATCGACCACGTCGTGGGAAACCAACCCGACGACGAGATGGTTCCGGTCGTGGAATGGTAACACTTTCCTAAAGACTGACGATGATCGGACACCAGTCACAGATCAGCATGACTCAGCGTTTTGTTTTGTTTTTTGTTTGTTTTGTTTTAATGGCTCAGCTGTGGTTTTCACATCTGGAGCTCGTTTGGAGACGAGAGAGGTCGAGAGGCCGCTCTCTGAACGGGATCCGTCATTGGTCGATTTTCAAAAACGGGGGGGGGGGGGGAAAAAGCACCAGATGTGAACGGGGTGGAGAAGAGGAAATAATCGAGGATGATTTCCGCGCTCGTCACCTCTGACGAATGTTCCCCTGGTGCCACAGGTATCGGAGGAACCTCCTGTTCCATCGGTTCTGGTCGGTGGATGACAAGCAGCTGCAGACGGAGTTCAGTGCCCTGCGCTCCATCGTCATGGCCAACTACGAGGAGACGGTGAAGATGCCCATCAACGAGCCGGCGATGGGGAAGAGGAAGTCTCAGATCCAGGTGAATGTGATGGGAAATTCTCACAGCGAGGGTTTGGACAACGACGATGAAGACAGAGAAGAGAGCTAATCTGATCTAATCCAAACGAATCTAGTCCAATCCAATCTAAACTAATCTGATCTAATCTAATCCAATCTAAACGAATCCAATGTAATCTAATCCAGTTCTATCCAATACAATGCAATCCAATGTAAACTAATATAATCTAATCCAATCTAATCCAATCTAATCTAATCTAATCCAATCTAATCCAGTCCTATCCAATACAATGTAATCTAATCTGATCCAATCTAATCCAATAGAAAATTAATCCAATGTAATCTAATCTGACCTAATCTAATCAAATCTAAACTAATATAATATAATCCAATCCAATGTAATCTAATCCAATCTAAACTAATCCAATCTAAACTAATGTAATCTAATCTGATCCAATCTAATCCAATAGAAAATTAATCCAATGTAATCTAATCTAATCTAATCAAATCTAATCCAGTCCTATCCAATACAATGTAATCTAATCTGATCCAATCTAATCCAATAGAAAATTAATCCAATGTAATCTAATCTGACCTAATCTAATCAAATCTAAACTAATATAATATAATCCAATCCAATGTAATCTAATCTAATCTAATCCAATGTAATTTAATCCATTCTAGTCCAATTCAATGTAATCTAATCTAAACAAATCCAATGTAATCTAATCCAGTTCTATCCAATACAATGCAATCCAATGTAAACTAATATAATCTAATCTGATCTAATCTAATCAAATCTAAACTAATATAATATAATCCAATCCAATGTAATCTAATCTAATCTAATCAAATCTAAACTAATATAATATAATCCAATCCAATGTAATCTAATCTGATCCAATCTAATCCAATAGAAAATTAATCCAATGTAATCTAATCCAGTTCTATCCAATACAATGCAATCCAATGTAAACTAATATAATCTAATCTGATCTAATATAATCCAATTTAAACTAATATAATATAATCCAATCCAATGTAATCTAATCTGACCTAATCTAATCAAATCTAAACTAATATAATATAATCCAATCCAATGTAATCTAATCTGACCTAATCTAATCAAATCTAAACTAATATAATATAATCCAATCCAATGTAATCTAATCCAGTTCTATCCAATACAATGCAATCCAATGTAAACTAATATAATCTAATCCAATCTAATCCAATCTAATCCAATCTAATCCAATCTAATCCAGTCTTATCCAATACAATGTAATCTAATCTGATCTAATATAATCCAATTTAAACTAATATAATATAATCCAATCCAATGTAATCTAATCCAATCTAAACTAATCCAATCTAAACTAATGTAATCTAATCTGATCCAATCTAATCCAATAGAAAATTAATCCAATGTAATCTAATCCAGTTCTATCCAATACAATGCAATCCAATGTAAACTAATATAATCTAATCTGATCTAATATAATCCAATTTAAACTAATATAATATAATCCAATCCAATGTAATCTAATCCAGTTCTATCCAATACAATGCAATCCAATGTAAACTAATATAATCTAATCCAATCTAATCCAATCTAATCCAGTCTTATCCAATACAATGTAATCTAATCTGATCTAATATAATCCAATTTAAACTAATATAATATAATCCAATCTAATCTAATCCAATGTAATTTAATCCATTCTAGTCAAATTCAATGTGATCTAATCTAAACAAATCCAATGTAATCTAATCTGATCCAATCTAATCCAATAGAAAATTAATCCAATGTAATCTAATCCAATCTAAACTAATCCAATCTAAACTAATGTAATCTAATCTGATCCAATCTAATCCAATAGAAAATTAATCCAATGTAATCTAATCTAATCTAATCCAATGTAATTTAATCCATTCTAGTCAAATTCAATGTGATCTAATCTAAACAAATCCAATGTAATCTAATCTGACCTAATCTAATCAAATCTAAACTAATATAATATAATCCAATCCAATGTAATCTAATCTGACCTAATCTAATCAAATCTAAACTAATATAATATAATCCAATCCAATGTAATCTAATCTGATCTAATATAATCCAATTTAAACTAATATAATATAATCCAATCTAATCTAATCTAATCCAATCTAATCCAATCTAATCCAATCTAACCTAATCTAATCCAATCTAATCCAGTCTTATCCAATACAATGTAATCTAATCTGATCCAATCTAATCCAATAGAAAATTAATCCAATGTAATCTAATCCAATCTAAACTAATGTAATCTAATCTGATCTAATATAATCCAATTTAAACTAATATAATATAATCCAATCCAATGTAATCTAATCCAGTTCTATCCAATACAATGCAATCCAATGTAAACAAATATAATCTAATCCAATCTAATCCAATCTAACCTAATCTAATCCAATCTAATCCAATCTAATCCAATCTAACCTAATCTAATCCAATCTAATCCAATCTAACCTAATCTAATCCAATCTAATCCAATCTAATCTAATCTAATCCAATGTAATTTAATCCATTCTAGTCAAATTCAATGTGATCTAATCTAAACAAATCCAATGTAATCTAATCTGACCTAATCTAATCAAATCTAAACTAATATAATATAATCCAATCCAATGTAATCTAATCCAATCTAAACTAATGTAATCTAATCTGATCCAATCTAATCCAATAGAAAATTAATCCAATGTAATCTAATCCAATCTAAACTAATCCAATCTAAACTAATGTAATCTAATCTGATCCAATCTAATCCAATAGAAAATTAATCCAATGTAATCTAATCTAATCTAATCCAATGTAATTTAATCCATTCTAGTCCAATTCAATGTAATCTAATCTAAACAAATCCAATGTAATCTAATCTGACCTAATCTAATCAAATCTAAACTAATATAATATAATCCAATCCAATGTAATCTAATCCAGTTCTATCCAATACAATGCAATCCAATGTAAACTAATATAATCTAATCTGATCTAATATAATCCAATTTAAACTAATATAATATAATCCAATCTAATCTAATCCAATGTAATTTAATCCATTCTAGTCCAATTCAATGTAATCTAATCTAAACAAATCCAATGTAATCTAATCCAATCTAAACTAATCCAATCTAAACTAATCCAATCTAAACTAATGTAATCTAATCTGATCCAATCTAATCCAATAGAAAATTAATCCAATGTAATCTAATCCAATCTAAACTAATGTAATCTAATCTGATCCAATCTAATCCAATAGAAAATTAATCCAATGTAATCTAATCCAATCTAAACTAATCCAATCTAAACTAATCCAATCTAAACTAATATAATCTAATCTGATCTAATCTAATCAAATCTAAACTAATATAATATAATCCAATCTAATCTAATCCAATGTAATTTAATCCATTCTAGTCCAATTCAATGTAATCTAATCTAAACAAATCCAATGTAATCTAATCCAGTTCTATCCAATACAATGCAATCCAATGTAAACTAATATAATCTAATCTGATCTAATATAATCCAATTTAAACTAATATAATATAATCCAATCTAATCTAATCTAATCCAATCTAATCCAATCTAATCCAATCTAACCTAATCTAATCCAATCTAATCCAATCTAATCCAGTCTTATCCAATACAATGTAATCTAATCTGATCCAATCTAATCCAATAGAAAATTAATCCAATGTAATCTAATCTAATCTAATCCAATGTAATTTAATCCATTCTAGTCAAATTCAATGTGATCTAATCTAAACAAATCCAATGTAATCTAATCCAATCTAAACTAATCCAATCTAAACTAATCCAATCTAAACTAATCCAATCTAAACTAATCCAATCTAAACTAATCCAATCTAAACTAATGTAATCTAATCTGATCCAATCTAATCCAATAGAAAATTAATCCAATGTAATCTAATCTGATCCAATCTAATCCAATAGAAAATTAATCCAATGTAATCTAATCCAATCTAAACTAATATAATCTAATCTGATCTAATATAATCCAATTTAAACTAATATAATATAATCCAATCCAATGTAATCTAATCCAATCTAAACTAATCCAATCTAAACTAATCCAATCTAAACTAATCCAATCTAAACTAATCCAATCTAAACTAATGTAATCTAATCTGATCCAATCTAATCCAATAGAAAATTAATCCAATGTAATCTAATCTGACCTAATCTAATCAAATCTAAACTAATATAATATAATCCAATCTAATCTAATCCAATGTAATTTAATCCATTCTAGTCCAATTCAATGTAATCTAATCTAAACAAATCCAATGTAATCTAATCCAATCTAAACTAATCCAATCTAAACTAATATAATCTAATCTGATCTAATATAATCCAATTTAAACTAATATAATATAATCCAATCCAATGTAATCTAATCTAATCTAGCCTAGGAGTATCTGGCGTACTATCCATCCATCCACGTGCATCTAATCTCATCTAATCCAATCTAATCCATCTAGGAGTACGTGGAGTACTATGGAGGACCAGGAGTACAGCACATAGCCATGAACACTTCAGACATAATTACTGCAGTAAGTACTTTCTGGAGTACTCTGGTTTTGTCTTTGAAACTCTGCAGAATGAGCCTTTAATACGTCCATTTCTCGGCAGATCACCAACCTGAAAGAACGCGGCATGGAGTTCATGTCGGTGCCCGACACGTATTACGAACAGCTGAGGGAGAACCTGAAGGGGTCAAAGGTCAAGATCACAGAGGACCTGGACGTCCTGCAGGTCAGGACCGGGATTTTAGCCGTGACTCACAACTTACTGTGTCAACTATTTACTTCGAACCGGCAGCAGACGTTTACGATCTTGTTTTTTCTCTCCGTCGCGAACCAGGGCTTGAGCATCCTGGTGGACTATGACGACAATGGATACTTACTTCAAATCTTCACCAAACCCGTCCAGGACCGGCCCACGGTGTTCCTGGAGGTCATCCAGAGACACAACCACCAGGGTTTTGGTGCCGGGAACTTCAAATCCCTCTTCGAAGCCATCGAAGCCGACCAGGCCGCCAGAGGAAATCTGACCGTGCTGACGCCAAACGGAGACGCGCAGAACATCTGAAACCTTGTCTTTTATTCTCACACCACGTGGGCCACACGTGATAGACGCTAATAGTAACCCACACACCGTGCTAATGCTAGTGTGCTAATTAAGAATCCACAGAGAGAAGAGTTAAAAATCGTGTCACTCTCAACAGAATTACGAATTATGATTTTTTTTAAAACAACACAGTCAACGTACACGTTAAAGCTTGACTCAAGCAAAAAAAACATTCGATTCTCGTAAATGAAAACGTTTTGTACGGCACATCGCAGTGTCACCATCTCGTAATAAAAGAGCTAAGTGTTTCAGTTTTCCTCAGTTATTCTTGATTCTTTTCTTCATTTTTTATCTCAAACGCCAATATTGTAAATATCGGAAGTCAAGGCTAGCGTCATTGTTCAGTTCAGTTCAAAGAACCGCGGCAGCCGTTGGCTTCACACAAACAGGGAATCTTGGTTTCCTCGATGGGGAACTTGTAGTCATAGGTGATCTCCTCGTTGATGCTGATTGGCTGCCGGGAATAGATGACGATCTTCTTCTGGGACTCCACAGTGATGATCTTAGCGTAGCAGTTAGGCTGCGGGAGTAAAAAAAAAAAGAATTTTTAAATATCATATATATATACAGGGAGTGCAGAATTATTAGGCAAGTTGTATTTTTGAGGATTAATTTTATTATTGAACAACAACCATGTTCTTAATGAACCCAAAAGACTCATTAATATCAAAGCTGAATATTTTTGGGAGTTGGAGTGGGGCTTTTTTAGTTTTAGCTATTTTAGGAGGATATCTGTGTGTGTGCAGGTGACTATTACTGTGCATAATTATTAGGCAACTTAGAAAACAAATATATACCCATTTCAATTATTTATTTTCACCAGGGAAACCAATATAACAGTTCACAAATTTCACAAATATACATTTCTGACATTCAAAAACAAATCAGTGACCAATATAGCCACCTTTCTTTGCAAGGACACTCAAAAGCCTGCCATCCATGGATTCTGTCAGTGTTTTGATCTGTTCACGATCAACATTGCGTGCAGCAGCAACCACAGCCTCCCAGACACTGTTCAGAGAGGTGTACTGTTTTCCCTCCTTGTAAATCTCACATTTGATGAGGGACCACAGGTTCTCTATGGGGTTCAGATCAGGTGAACAAGGAGGCCATGTCATTAGTTTTTCTTCTTTTAGGCCCTTTCTTGCCAGCCACGCTGTGGAGTACTTGGATGCGTGTGATGGAGCATTGTCCTGCATGAAAATCATGTTTTTCTTGAAGGATGCGGACTTCTTCCTGTACCACTGCTTGAAGAAGGTGTCTTCCAGAAACTGGCAGTAGGACTGGGAGTTGAGCTTGACTCCATCCTCAACCCGAAAAGGCCCCACAAGCTCATCTTTGATGATACCAGCCCATACCAGTACCCCACCTCCACCTTGCTGGCGTCTGAGTCGGACTAGAGCTCTCTGCCCTTTACCGATCCAGCCACGGGCCCATCCATCTGGCCCATCAAGACTCACTCTCATTTCATCAGTCCATAAAACCTTAGAAAAATCAGTCTTGAGATATTTCTTGGCCCAGTCTTGACGTTTCAGCTTGTGTGTCTTGTTCAGTGGTGGTCGTTTTTCAGCCTTTCTTACCTTGGCCATGTCTCTGAGTATTGCACACCTTGTGCTTTTGGGCACTCCAGTGATGTTGCAGCTCTGAAATATGGCAAAACTGGTGGCAAGTGGCATCTTGGCAGCTGCACTCTTGACTTTTCTCAGTTCATGGGCAGTTATTTTGCGCCTTGGTTTCTCCACACGCTTTTTGCGACCCTGTTGACTATTTTGAATGAAACGCTTGATTGTTCGATGATCACGCTTCAGAAGCTTGGCAATTTTAAGAGTGCTGCATCCCTCTGCAAGATATCTCACTATTTTTGACTTTTCTGAGCCTGTCAAGTCCCTCTTCTGACCCATTTTGCCAAAGGAAAGGAAGTTGCCTAATAATTATGCACACCTGATATAGGGTGTTGATGTCATTAGACCACACCCCTTCTCATTACAGAGATGCACATCACCTGATATGCTTAATTGGTAGTGGGCTTTCGAGCCTATACAGCTTGGAGTAAGACAACGTGCATAAAGAGGATGATGTGGTCAAAATACTCATTTGCCTAATAATTCTGCACTCCCTGTATTAAAATAATAATAAAATAATACTAGGCTAACTAACTAATTATAGGTTAGTTTTATATTTTATAATTATTAAAATACATTTTAAAAAATTTCAGTACGAATTTTAATAATGTGATCAGTTTCATTATTAAAAAAAAACGTAACGTTTGTGAAGACGTGTATTTTACACATGTCCTCCCGCAGTCCGAGCGTTATAAACTATCTAAAGTTACTGCATAAACTGCAGCGAAAAGACGGAGGGGGTGAGGCAAACAGTAGCACGCCGCACCGGAAGGCACACAACGAGTTGCTGTTTTCACTAGAGTGCGCGACTAGAATATAATAACAATAATTATAATAATATCAACGAAAATGACGACAATAACGACGGTAATGAAGTCGAGGAGACTTAAAACTAGGGCGGACGTATACAGGAGTGATCCGTGGAAAACACCACAACAACGTCGTCTTCAGCTACAAATAAAAGGTAAAACTTTCACCCAAACGCTAAGAATATGACACTGTGTGTTAACGAGGAAAAATTAAAAGTCGTATGTGAGTCGTTGTTAACGGTTTAACTGTAAAACACTCGGTGGAAGAGGAACAAATGTGTGACGTTTTTGTCTTGGATCTAGATATCCCTCCGCGTCGGCGGTCATGTTGGAGAAAAAACAACATGGCGAAAAGATGTTTTTAATGAGTCTGTTTACATTTAATTAATGTGCTTTTGGTTTGTTTACTAGTAAACAAAACCTTCAAATCAAAATATATTAAAAATGTATTTTTTAACACCTCGGGCTAAATAATAATCTATCCATCCATCCATCATCAACCGCTTATCCGGGGCAAAACTCCCATGAACCCTCAAGCACCCTGTGGAGGGTATAGAGCTGGTCCAGTGTTCCACGACCAGGACGAAAACCGCATTGTTTCTCTTGAATCCGAGGTTCGACTATCGGCCGGATTCTCCTCTCTAGTACTCTGGAATAGACTTTTCCCGGGAGGCTGAAGACTGTGATCCCCCTATAGTTGGAACACACCCTCCGGTCCCCTTTTTTGAAAAGAGG